GATATCGTCAAAGCTTAACATCTGTTTAAAGCTATGTCATATAAAGCTACTCTACAGCTCTGTTGAAATGCAACCATGCCTGCTTTCAGTGGTCTTTTCAAACCCCATTTGACTGATAAGGAGAATTTGTTGCCTCTATAGAATTAGGGCAATTCTGCCCATAGGCCCACTAGTCCATAATGTTCAGTGTAGTACTCATTCTATCCTTCTGGCAATGGATGACCCAATGTTCCACTATTGAATTGTATTGTCATGTATTCCAGGAACTCTTGATGTGACAGGCAACACAAGACATGTCCATTGACTGATGCATGACTGAATGGACCACTCAGAGGCACCTCTCATTGTCACACACACACACACACACACACACACATAGTATTGTGTTTGTTAATCAGTGACTATACACAATCACAGGACATGGCAGGACTAGAAGCTTCCTGTTCAGGCAAAACAGACATTTCCTAGTGGTCCAGTGATGATTGCTGGTGTGTGAGCTCCATGTGATGTGTGTGTGTGTGTGTGTATGTGTGTGTGTGTGTATGTGTGTGTGTGTGTGTGTGAGCGTGCGTGTGTGCGCTGAGAAATAAAATGTTTCTTTTAAAAAAGCGTTATTGGGCGATTCCACGCCAAGACAGCCCAAAAATAGTTTTGGTATCTCAGATTGTTCTGTCAATTTTCACATAGAGACTTCATTGTGAGGAAGGATGTTTTAAATGCTTTTAACATTTCTATCACAAACAATTTTGATATACATGCCTCCTGTAAGACCTTATGATCTGCGAACTGTACATGATACAGACAACATCTTTGTGTCATTATACTTCCTATAGTGTGCTCTATTTAACGTGGATATGTCTAGATTCTGAAATACAATTTTTCACAATTTATTCAACATAAATCATATGAATATCTCAAAAGTACTATTTTTGTTCATTTTAAAGTTGAAATCCGATGCGGTCAAACTGCCACGTCTGTTTGCAATATTACAACAACAAAGACTTTATTACTTTAAACAACAAACACAGTTTTATTCCCTCAGACATCATTGCACATCATTGCACGTGCGATAGAACAGCAGAGTACTGCAATATTTTTTATTACGTTGCTGGATGCTCATCTCCTCCTTTTCAAAAACTAAAACTAAAACAAATGTGCCTGGGGTGACCAGTGACGCTGTTTCACCTTTCGTGGATCTCAGCTTTAAGACCTGTTGTTTGGAACAATATACAATTTAATCACATTTCCAGAGTGAGCTCTTTGCTAATTCTGAATTATGAGCAATTTTATGAGCACAACCAACACAGTGAATGGGAAAATAAATTCAAAGGGAACTCCCTCTGCTTGCAATTAGCTGAATGTGCAATCCTGGAGGTGGGCTGTGATTGGTTAATGACCTAATAACCGTGATCATCAACTAGATACAGCCATGGACCGATGTGACTGCAAGAAGCACAAACAGGTATAATATTTGACTAGAGCATAATCATTTCAAACCTTCCTTACATTTGTATACGATCACATACACTGAGTGTATAAACATTAGGAACACCTTCCTAATATTGAGTTGCTCCCCCTTTTGCCCTCAGAATAGCCTCAATTCGTTGGGGCATGGATTCTAAAAGGTGTCAAGAGTTCCACAGGGATGCTGGCCCATGTTGACTACAATGCTTCCCACAGTTGTGTCAAGTTGGCTGAATCTCCTTTGATTGGTGGACCATTCATGATACACACGGGAAACTGTTGAGCGTGAAAAACCCAGCAGTGTTGCAGTTCTTGACACAAACCGGTGCGCCTGGTACCTACTACCATACCTCGTTCATAGGCAGTTAAATCTTTTGTCTTTCCCATTCACCCTCTGAATGGCAAACCTACACAATCCATGTCTCAAGGCTTAAAAATCCTTCTTTAACCTGTCTCCTCCCCTTCATCTACACTGATTGAAGTGGATTTAACAAGTGACTTCAATAAGGGATCATAGCTTTCACCTGAATTCACGTGGGAGTCTATGTCATGGAAAGATTTCCAAGATTTCAGTTTTTTAAATTAGTTTATTTAGCTCCGAAAACTTGGGGGGCCAAATATAATCACCGGTGGACCAAAATCACTGGTGGAACCCTGACCTATAACATAAATTGCTATGTATAAAATGGGTAATATAATGAAAAGTACCAGAGCGCCCACTCTGGAAATTTGACGTGCTTGAAGAGTATATTGTTCCAAACAATATGTCTAAAAATAAACTATATCAAAAAGGGTACTTTTGAGAAATTCTTATGAATATTTGTAATGTTGAATAAATGAATGTGACATTTTTTAATTTCAGAATCTAGACATAATGCATATTTGAGAGCACACTATAAAGAGTACAATGACTCCAAGATATTGTCTGTATCTTGTACGGTTCACGGATCACAGGGTCTTACAGGAGATATATATAGTTCTAAAAATAGCCTAAAATTGACACTTTCATCATGACTTTCTCAAAAATGGTTTGTGATACAAATGAAAAAGCATGTCAAACATCCTTCCTCCCAATTACTTTTCTTTGTGAGAATTGCCAGAACAATCTGTGATAACAAAAATATATTTGTCCTGGCGTGGAATCGCGCTATTGTTTTTGATAGCTTTGTGTAGGCATGATATTCTGATAACTGCTGTATGAGGCCTCTAACTTCACACCAGAGGGCAGTTCTGCGTTTTTGATATTATAGAGACTTCTCTTACATAAGACAGAGAGATGAGACCTGTTCTCTTTGTTTGATGTTGTTGCTTAGATCTCCTGCTGCCTACACCAGTCTCTGTAACTCTATAGCCTAATGTTTTGTCATCTGATTGAGTCAGTGTGTTCATAATATTTGTATATATTACAAGTATACTAAAGTATACTTAAATATACAAAAAATGCAAATAATATACATTAAATACGAGATGTATTTTCAGTATATCTGAAGTATACTGTAAATATAACAGCATTATCTTATCATAGTGTTATAAAATACTCCCTTCAATACAAAAGTAATTAAAGTGCTTTTCCCATGTTTCTTCATTACCTCTGTGCTATTGACACAACGTCAGTTCTTTCGTACCCCGTTAACTTCTTTCCGAATTACACTTCTTAGGTTTTTAGATTTTATTTATTTGCACCAAAGAAAATAAGTGAAAGACAAAACAGTACAGAAAAAAAAACCGGGTTAAAACGGTGTGCAGTTGATGTTGTAAGCCCAAAAGGGCAATGAAAACCACACCACAAATATAAGTAAAAAAAAAGTTTATTCAATCAGTTAAGCAAAGCATATTCATTCTAATTGTACAGTGGGGAAAAAAAGTATTTAGTCAGCCACCAATTGTGCAAGTTCTCCCACTTAAAAAGATGAGAGAGGCCTGTAATTTTCATCATAGGTACACGTCAACTATGACAGACAAATTGAGAAATAAAAATCCAGAAAATCACATTGTAGGATTTTTTATGAATTTATTTGCAAATTATGGTGGAAAATAAGTATTTGGTCACCTACAATCAAGCAAGATTTCTGGCTCTCACAGACATGTAACTTCTTCTTTAAGAGGCTCCTCTGTCCTCCACTCGTTACCTGTATTAATGGCACCTGTTTGAACTTGTTATCAGTATAAAAGACACCTGTCCACAACCTCAAACAGTCACACTCCAAACTCCACTATGGCCAAGACCAAAGAGCTGTCAAAGGACACCAGAAACAAAATTGTAGACCTGCACCAGGCTTGGAAGACTGAATCTGCAATAGGTAAGCAGCTTGGTTTGAAGAAATCAACTGTGGGAGCAATTATTAGGAAATGGAAGACATACAAGACCACTGATAATCTCCCTCGATCTGGGGCTCCACGCAAGATCTCACCCCGTGGGGTCAAAATGATCACAAGAACGGTGAGCAAAAATCCCAGAACCACACGGGGGGACCTAGTGAATGACCTGCAGAGAGCTGGGACCAAAGTAACAAAGCCTACCATCAGTAACACACTACGCCGCCAGGGACTCAAATCCTGCAGTGCCAGACGTGTCCCCCTGCTTAAGCCAGTACATGTCCAGGCCGTCTGAAGTTTGCTAGAGTGCATTTGGATGATCCAGAAGAGGATTGGGAGAATGTCAGATGAAACCAAAATATAACTTTTTGGTAAAAACTCAACTCGTCGTGTTTGGAGGACAAAGAATGCTGAGTTGCATCCAAAGAACACCATACCTACTGTGAAGCATGGGGGTGGAAACATCATGCTTTGGGGCTGTTTTTCTGCAAAGGGACCAGGACGACTGATCCGTGTAAAGGAAAGAATGAATGGGGCCATGTATCGTGAGATTTTGAGTGAAAACCTCCTTCCATCAGCAAGGGCATTGAAGATGAAACTTGACTGGGTCTTTCAGCATGACAATGATCCCAAACACACCGCCTGGGCAACGAAGGAGTGGCTTCGTAAGAAGCATTTCAAGGTCCTGGAGTGGCCTAGCCAGTCTCCAGATCTCAACCCCATAGAAAATCTTTGGAGGGAGTTGAAAGTCTGTGTTGCCCAGCGACAGCCCCAAAACATCACTGCTCTAGAGGAGATCTGCATGGAGGAATGGGCCAAAATACCAGCAACAGTGTGTGAAAACCTTGTGAAGACTTACAGAAAACGTTTGACCTGTGTCATTGCCAACAAAGGGTATATAACAAAGTATTGAGAAACTTTTGTTATTGACCAAATACTTATTTTCCACCATAATTTGCAAATAAATTCATAAAAAATCCTACAATGTGATTTTCTGGATTATTTTTTCTCATTTTGTCTGTCATAGTTGACGTGTACCTATGATGAAAATTACAGGCCTCTCTCATCTTTTTAAGTGGGAGAACGTGCACAATTGGTGGCTGACTAAATACTTTTTTTCCCCACTGTACATGTCAATGTGTGTGAGTATTTACTATGTTTGTTGGTTGAGAGGGCCCACATTTTGAGCTTGTTCTTTCTCTCTGTTTGTCTGATGTGTGTGTGTGTAGGTGGGGAACCCATGCGTGGAGCTGACTCTGTCGGAGCTGCAGGAGATGGCCACACGGCAACAGCAACAGATTGATGCCCAACAGCAGATGCTGGTTGCCAAGGTACTGGTACAATAATATAAACAATAAACATCATTATCGACCTCACAGTGATAGACCTTCTTTCCAACCAGGAACCGTATTGACCTCACATTCAGAAAACCCACTGATGTCTATACCTCTGAGATGTCTGGCCATGCTCAAAGTTTTTATCCTCTGAGTTGAGTGGCTGTGTTGTGTTAGTTTGGGTCGTGTCCATTAGAGCACACCGTAGCAAAACGCTTTAAAGCTTTTCTCATTGGACAAGTCCGGGGTTGTCCCTTTTATTTCAGTCCTTTTTTCGTCCATTTGGTGCCTACTGAACATGACCCCGTTGTGTTATGGGATTGGTGCCATTTGAGTGTCCAGAGTGTAAATCATTCCGATTGGTCACAGACAGTTGTTCTGGATTGGCTCAGGTTTCAGCCTCTCTCTCTGTGGGCTCCAGCCAGTCAACATGTGGGTCAGAAGGCTCATCTATATAGTTATGTAATATATAGATCCTCAGCTTCCACTGGACTGGGGGACAGGCACCGGGTCAGAGAGCAGGTCTATATGTTATAGATCTATAGATGGATCCTCAGCTTCCACTGTCTGGGCTGGGCCATACACCTGGCTCCTATATGTCACCAGGGATCCTATTCTCTCTATAGGGAACAGGCCAGGATGGGGAGGACTGGGGAGATGATTTACTGTGGTCTCAGACAGGGGGATACCCGCTCACTGTCAAAGGGTTTAGAAGAAGATCCAAAACAGAGGCTCATCTGACATGGCACCTTAACATGCAAACATGAGTGTTAAAGGTCAGGTGGACAGGGTATGTATCATGTCATGTCTTAATAGAGTTGGTTGCAAATCACAAACAGCAGTTGGGGTGGGATGGGTTGGGTTGGGGAAGAGTGGGTGAACCTGGTTCCTCTAGGTTTCTTCCTTCTAGGGCGGTTTTACTGACCACTGTGCTTCTGCTTTTGCTTGCTCTTTGATTGGTTGATGGAATGGGATATAGTTCACACAGGGTCTGTGGTTGATCTGGTCACGTGCTGTGGTCAGCTTGTTGTGGTCATTTAAATACAACAAGCAGTTCCTAGATCAGCTTGTATGTGATGTGTTCAGTCACGATCTAGGTACAGGGTCATGGTTACCAAGGTCAGTGCAGGTGGTGGCAGCGTGCGTCGCCAGGGACAACAAGCAGGGACAACAACAGGAAGGGACTAGATGTCCGGCAGGAAATGAGGTCAGCAGTGAGCAGCCAGCTGCTGGGAAGGAAGTGTGCTGTCTCTAGGAGGGGATAATATGGAGAGGAACCTAGAGGGTTGAACAGTATTTTACCACACCCAGTGCACTGGTCACTTCCCAGGAATATCTAAGTCAGAACATACTGGAAACTCAAATTCAGCACCAGGAAAGCATTTACGTGTGACATGACATCAGGGGGACATCTTGTCACGTATTCTTTTAGTGTTTCATTGATCATCACATTTCCTTTACAAGGAGTTTGGATCCGGTTGTGGGTTAGGTTTTGACTGATATTTCTCATTCTGAAGGTAAATATGATTGTCTTTTATGATGGGGCTGAAGAAACACTGCGAATGTTCCAATGTTGTCTGTTCTATGAGAAGCCATGATGCCTTTCTCTGTGTTGATGATTGTAATGATTAGGATAATAATGGTGATGAAGTGGACTCCTAGAGGCTCAATGTAGATGAATGTATAAACTACACAGTTGTCAGTATGGCAGCGTTTTATTGAGTAATATTTGTTCACTGTATTAGCAGTGTGTATTAATGTTCGTGATTAGCTGTGAATTTGGGTGTTTGCATTGAGCGGGTTACCTCTCTCCTTCTATTGAACAGTAGATTGTGTTCAGTCAACACTCCCTCTCCTACTCTCTCTGTCTCTCTCTGTCAGAGCCTGCATTGTGTTTGCTCATTCTAGAGCAGACCTGAAAATGCTTCAGTCAGCACCACATAGTCTTGCAATCCCTTTCATTCGCTCTCATTCACATACTGATGAGCTCTTCCTTCATTCACTCACTCCACCACTTGTGTGTATTTGGTATGGATTCGCTTCTCGTTATTTAGATTGTCTATGTATGTGAGTATTATTTGCAAGGCTGGTATTTTTTTTGTATTGGAAAAAAACAAGCCCTTTTCCTATTTAGATAAGAGAAAACTGGTTTGTGTATTCTGTCTTCTCTGCGAGCCGGTGTGTTGAGTAGCTGAACAGGATTCTATTTCATGTGCATCTCTTGCTCCCTCTTTTCTCAATCCTTTTTAATTACCTTCTTTCTCTTTTCACTCTCTTTTTTCCTTTAACTTCTCCTTCCTCTTCATCCTTTGTTCCTTTCAGCTCTCTTCTGTGCGAACGGAGGTGTGTGGCTGTGTAGAGTGTGTGTGTGTGAATGTTATTGTTTGTGTGTGTGTGCGCGTCAGTGTGTGTAATTTATCTGTCATTGCACTGTGCTTGAATGAAGTGGAGGAATGCTTGCACTACATTTTCCGTCCCACATCTGTAACTCATTGTTCCCTCTGTTCCTCCAACCCAACCCTCTCCTCTCCTGTCCTCTCTCTGTCTCCCCTGTCCTCTCTCTGTCCTCTCTCTGTCCTCTCCTCCCCTCTCTGTCCTCTCTCTGTCCTCTCCTCCCCTCTCTGTCCTCTCTCTGTCCTCGCTCTGTCCTCTCCCCTCCTCTCCTTTCAGGAGCAGTGTCTGAGGTACCTGCAGCAGCAGGACCACACACAGGGCCAGACGGTGTCGGAGGCTGAGAAGCTACAGAGGTTGAAGGAGCGAGTGGAGAGTCAGGAGGCCAAACTAAAGAAAATCCGCGCCATGAGGGGCCAGGTGGACTACAGCAAGCTCATCAATGGCAACCTGTGTAAGCAATGTGATTCAGTACGCAAATGCACGCACAAACACACACACACGTGCGCGCACGCACACACCTGGTGGGAGGAGCTATAGGAGGACATGCTCATTGTAATGGCTGGAATGGAATTGATGGAGCGGAGTCAAACATGGTTTCCATGTGTTTGATACCGTTTCATTAATTCCATTTCAGCCGTTACAATGAGCCTGTTCTCCTATAGCTCCTCCCACCAGCCTCCTCTGATGGAGAACCCCATCATAGTGGAATCTGGGCTCTGTTCAGCTGTCCATGATGTCATCTCTTTCCCTAGTTCTGTCAGTTAGCCTGGAATCTGACCCTCCCCATATTGTGGTCTGGAACTGGGTGTGTCTGGGTATCTTAAAGTCCCAATGTTCATACTGTAACAGGGTGTAGTCCTGTTCTGTATAACGTCCAAGGCTGCACCCTGTCTGCCACATTCTGATACTGGTACTCTGGAGAAAGGGGAGTTGTCCATCCAGTCCACAACTTTCCAATACACTCTATTCACTCTTCTCTCTCATACCATCAGACTTGAAACATGTATGTTTTGATTTCTCCCAACACACTCATACACACAGCCAGTCCGTATCTCACAGTGTACTGCATCCCCTCTCCTCTCCCCATGCAGCGGCTGAGATCCAGCATGTGAGTGGGCAGTTCCAGGAGAAGCAGGCAGAGCTGCAGTCAGCTGTGGTGAAGGTGGACCAGCTCACCCAGCAGCTGGAGGACCTGAGGAGGGGACGTCTCAACGGCCTGCAGCCCCTGGGAGGACCTCTCACTGGCACCGCCGCTCTGGAGCTACGCAAACTTTACCAGGAACTACAGGTACATTTCCTGAAGAAAATGTGTCTGCTCAGAAGTACTGTACACTTCATCAGATTCATATTTTGTTAGGAAGTTCCAGATTATGTAATGAAATGACACTTCAGATTCATATTTTGCTAGGACGTTCCAGATTATGTAATGAAATGACACTTCAGATTCATATTTTGCTAGGACGTTCCAGATTATGTAATGAAATGACACTTCAGATTCATATTTTGCTAGGACGTTCCAGATTATGTAATGAAATGACACTTCAGGTTCATATTTTGCTAGGACGTTCCAGATTATGTAATGAAATGACACTTCAGATTCATATTTTGTTAGGAAGTTCCAGATTATGTCATCCAGCTGCAGATCAGATGAAGGAGAGGAGATTAGATTAGACATTTTCATTCTGAAGGACATTTGTGACACTGACATAATAGATGTCTCTCAGCGTTGTCTCTCCATTCCTCATCCTGCCAGGGCTTGATTAAACAGAGACAGGACAGACAGGACATCCATCTGCCTCCTGGTTTGACTCACACTCATTGTGTTCCATGTTCCTTCTGTGTCTCTGTCAGGTGTGTAACAAGCTGAACGCGGAGCAGAGTGGCAGGCTACAGCAGAACAAGGAGCTGCTGAATAAGCGCAACACGGAGGTGACCATGATGGACAAGCGCATCGGGGACCTTCGCCAGCGCCTGCACAAGAAAAAAACTGAGGCATGTCAAAAAGAGATCAACTCAGTAAGACCAGGAAGAAACTCTCTGAAGTTCCCCAGAGATACACAATCTATCTCAATACCTTTGTGTTCTCACTCACTCTCATACACACAGACCACCAGCATATACAGTAGCATAGTATGCCTACATACTGTACAGTGCATAGTGAAAGAACACACAGTTTTCACATTTTGCTGCCTTAAAAACTAGCATTTATTATTTTCAAAATTTAACGCAACAAAATGCTGATAAGTTTCACTAGGCACTGTTTACACATATTTACGTAGTTGACTTTGCTCTCTGTCTCTTAACAACTCTCTGTAATCATTGTGATTTTAACCACCGCTGTTTGGGCTGTGGAAGTATAGCTGACATTGTATTTTGCCCTCTCTCGCTCCACTCCACAGCTTAACAGGATCAACGGTCCTCCCTCCCCCCAGCCCACCCCCAGCAGCTCAGGCCGCGTGGCCGCGGTATGTCCCTACATCCAGGTGCCCGTCCCAGGCAGACAGGAGGGGGGCTACGCTCTGCTCCCAGACCCCTGTTAAACCACCGTCTGTCCCTGGGACTGGCACCGTCAGCCATGGCCGCTCCAAATCAGGTCAGTCCCTGCCCCACACTGCAGCTTTACCTACTTTATCACTCTCAAACTACTGACTGTCAGACTATATCTGTCTATTTGGGACACCTTGATCTGATCTGGACAGTCCTGAGATTGCTATGGTGTAGCTGGTAGATGTTAGTTCAGAGTGGTAGCTACGCATAACTCCTCTGAGCAGATATTTCAGTTCTAAACTCATTATATTTTTTCTGAGTATTTAAAAATAAATCTGACTCAGCGTTCTCTGACTTCCTGCCCTCTCTCATGTCTGTCTGTGGACCTCTTCTTCTCCTACCCTTATTCGTATCGTCTGTTCTGTCGTGCCCGTTGTTGTTGTTGATGTTGTGGTGTGTCACGATTTGTGTGGTCGCGGGCTCAGCAGAGGATGAAGGGTGCGGTTTGAGGAAGCCCTCCGGCCAATGGAAGGTCTCAGATTTAGACATCATAGTGGACCCCGTGGAGCTGAGAGAGGGGCCCCGGTCCCCCTCAGGGGCCCGCAGTGCCGACAGTGAGTCTGCAGCCAGGGGCTAGGGCAGCAGAAGGAGAGGGGCTTCAGTAACACGGCTTAATATCAACAACATAAATTTAGATAGTTCTGTACATGCATGTATAACATAGTTATAACTTCTACCTAAAACCAGTTTCACATCCTTCCATTCTTTTATACAGAATTAAATATACAGATTGAGTGGGGTCTCAGTAACAAGGCCTCAGTAACAGGGCCCTATATTATAATAATATACACATTTCAAGTTTCAAGTTTTATTCGTTGTATGTACACGAAACATATGGTATACACCATCCAATGAAATGCTTACTTGCAGGTTCCTTCTCGACAATACAACAACAATAAGACTTAGTAAAAGATAACTACATTGAGTGGGGCCTCAGTAACAGTGCCCTACTGCAACAACATAACATAGGATAACATTTACCTAAAACTAATGCCACACCCTTGCCTTCCCTCCTTATATAAAATATGTACAAGTTGAAATCATTATGTCAACTATTGTGTTCATCTTCAGTAGACCTATGTGAGGTTCCATTTCTTTCTGGCCTAGAACATGTATTTATTTATATTGGAATTCATTGTCACTGTGTGAATATTTATTTGCCCAAAATACCACTGTCGGTATGAACGGCCTCTATTGCATAAGGGGAAAATGGTTAGGTAACATGGTTTATTTGAATGGACAAAAATGGACGTATGACGTTAGAGAAGGGGTTACTGCGGCATTGTTCTCCACCTCTTTGAATGTAACAAGCCAAACAGGTCTCACAAACAGAACTCACATGCAGTAGAGAGTGAAATGATGGGTTGTCTTTGATGACTTGGGTTGCGCCCCAAATGACACCCTGTTCCATATATAGTGCACTACTTTTGACCAGAGCCCTATGCAGGCCCTGGTCAAAAGTAGTGCCCTATATAGGGAGTATGATGCCATTTCAGGTGTAGCCCTTCTAGTGATCCCCTTTTAATAGGGCTGGGCAGTTGTAATGTTTGAAAGGGAGAGTAGCCAAAGCTCAGTTGGTACAGACACTGCAATAGGTTTAATAGGTAGTCTGGCAGACAGACAGACAGACAGGATGCAGGGAATAGTTTACCTCCAGACAGACTATGTCTTAGAGAGAGAGAGATCCTCTTGGAGGGATAGACACTCTAATCTCTTTAACCTGATCAGAATCAGGGACCAAAATACACCCAGCACATACACATTGTATTAGAACTGACCCTGTGTCCCTCAGGTCAGTCTGTAGGTATGGAGGGCAACCTGTTCCTGTACTGTGCCAGTCTGTAGGTATGGAGGGCAACCTGTTCCTGTACTGTGTCCAGTCTGTAGGTATGGAGGGCAACCTGTTCCTGTACTGTGCCAGTCTGTAGGTATGGAGGGCAACCTGTTCCTGTACTGTGCCAGTCTGTAGGTATGGAGGGCAACCTGTTCCTGTACTGTGCCAGTCTGTAGGTAGGAGGGCAACCTGTTCCTGTAACTGTGCCAGTCTGTGTAGGAGGCAACCTGTTCCTGACTGTGTCAGTCTGTATGTATGGAGGGCAACCTGTTCTGTACTTGTGCCAGTCTGTAGTATGGAGGCCACCTTTTCCTTACTGTGCCAGTCTGTAGGTATGGAGGGCACCTGTTCCTGTCTTTGCCAGTCCCGTAGGTATGAGAACACAAGGCAAAGAGAGCAACGTGATCTAGAAATTGAAACGTATTAGCTACAGGTACTAGTTCTTCAGACAGACAGTGTGTTGTGTGTGTAACTGTACTTTCAGTTGCGTCAACATTCTATTGATCACTTCACGAGACAACTAGAATATCACAGCCCATCTTTCTCAACCGTTATCCCGGAACACAGACTATCTACCTGCTGTCTTTCGTTTACCCCTCTCTCTCTCTCTCTTTTTTACCTCTCTCTCTCTCTCTATCTCTCTCTATCTCTCTCTATCTCTCTCTCTCTCTCTCTCTCTCTCTCTCTCTCTCTCTCTCTCTCTCTCCCTCTACCTCTACCTCTACCTCTACCTCTACCTCTACCTCTACCTCTACCTCTCCCTCTACCCCTCCTGTAGCCAATGAAGCAGAGTGGCCCACCCTGAGAAAAAGTGTCTCCTCGATCCAACCTTCAGATTGGAGGAACACCAGCCCAGACCAGGTGAGATCCCTGCTCCACCTCCCACTACTACAGTCATTGGGTACATCTCAATAGTCTGTAGTGGCTTCCTATCATCGTCTCCTCTCTTTCATCTGCAATTATATTAAATAACTAACCATTAAAAGCAATTCCTGGTAGGGATTCTCCACCATATTGCTTTCACAGACCCTGTATTTTTTTTATACATGCAGACAAAGGAGAGGACACAAGTAGAGGAAGCCACTTAAAACTATTGAGATGCAGCCGTTTCACTTTTGGCTCTTTCACACACTCCTTGGACTCTCTCCTTCCTACTGTCCTATAATGGATGTTTATCTAACTGGTTCACTGTGTTTCCCTCCACAGAGCCTTGACTCCAGTAAGCTACCAGGTGGATCCGTGTCCAAACCACCACCCATCTACGGGACCTACCCTGCACCTACTGGCCACCCATCTATAATCTGCTCTACCAGCTCCCTGCCCAGGTCTACCCATGCCTCCTTAGCCTGGCAGGGCTCAGCCCCTCCTGGTTTCTCCTCCCAGCAGATCCAGCAGCGTATCTCTTTCCCCCCCAGCCCCACACCCCAGTCAGGCCAGGGGGAGAGGAAGAGGCCTGACCCCCCGCTGGCCGTGGCTGTGAGGCCCTACGTCCCAGACCGGTCCTCCTCCAGGCCTCAGTCCCCCAGGAAGGGCCCTGCCACCATGAACTCCTCCTCCATCTACCACATGTACCTGCAGCAGCCTGCAGCCAAGAACTACCCAGCAGGAGGCAGGTCTGCTGTCAAAGCAGGTAAACCCCTTCAATCGATGAACATAATATTTTTTTAAGAGTCAGTCAGACCTGGGTTCTAATAGTATTTGATTGCCTTCCAATAATTAAGCTGCACTTGATTGAGCATGCCTGGCACAGTGGGACCAATGTAATAGTTCCAAGAGTGCAAAGCACTCCAGGGAGGCTCAATCAAACTCTCAAAGTATTTGAAGAAAACAAATAGCATTTGAACCCTGGCCTGATTCAGATAATGCTTGACTTTCCTGTTGGGTCTCAATCTGTATGGCTCAATATTAATATCCATCTCCTTTTGTTTGAAGTGTATGGGAAACCAGTGCTTCCCTCCAGCACCTCTCCCTCCCCTGTGCCCTTCCAGCACGGGGCCCTGTCCCCAAGAGGAGGGAGTGGAGAGGACATGGTGGACAGGGAAGGGGACACCACAGAGGGTAGACTCCTACTCCCTCCCAGTGTGGAAAACATCCCGCGGCCCCTGAGCCCCACCAAGCTGACCCCCGTGGCCCACTCCCCACTGCGCTACCAGAGCGACTCTGACCTGGAGGTCCTGCGCCGGCGGCTGACCAACGCACCGCGCCCGCTGAAGAAACGCAGCTCCATCACAGAGCCAGAGGGCCCCACCGGACCCAACATCCAGAAGCTCCTGTACCAGCGCTTCAACACCCTGGCCGGGGGCATGGAGGGCAGCAACAGCACCCCCTTCTACCAGCCCGTCTTTATGGGTGGTGTCCTGGGATGTCCTGACGTAGACAACATCAACACTTCTAACGGGAACCTGATGGAGACCGCGTCCCTGGTCGTCACTGCGGCAGACGGTCCCAACTCAGACCATCGCCGGTCCCCTTTCATGTCCCCTTCCTTTGACTCAAATGAGAACCATCGGCAGAGGACACCCCCACCCAGTGAGACCGCTCCCCGCCTACCCAGCCCCCAGCCTAGCCTGGAAGACAACAACAACAACAACCAACCTGGTCCTACAAGCACCACCTCCACTCCCAGGCCCAGCCCCATCCCAGAGGCCTCGGCTCCCCAACAGAAAGACACCTCTCCCCGGACTGTCACACCCTCTGCACTGCCTAAGGTCAGCCTGCGGAGCCACAGCTCCATAATGTAACAGCATGCTTCCTTTCTGTATGTCATAATTCATAGGGTCAAGAGTTTCTCCTGGTCAGGTCACAGGGTCAGCAAAAAAAACAATTAAGGTGCCACCAGCCACCTGTGTATTAGCCAGAGAGTAACTCTACTTTCTCTAGAGGACTAACCTGAAGAAGCCTGAGTCAGAGCGGACAGGCCACGGGCTGCGGGTCAAGTTCAACCCCCTGGCCCTGCTACTGGACGCCTCTCTGGAGGGAGAGTTTGACTTGGTGCAGAGGATCATCTATGAGGTAATCATAGGCTCTTCAATTGAATTCAAACTTTATTGTCCCAGAAGAGAAATTCATTGTGTTGAGTCTTCTCATTTTACATGCCAGTCTGTCAGCCTGTGAGGGATTTCAAACTGACTTCTAAATCGTCTGCTCTTTAAAAATGTTAATGGCTTTTGTGACTGTTGATATAAAAAGGGCTTTATCAATACATTTATTTGATTCATGAAATAAATGTGCTTGATTTATCCTTTCCCCCATGCAGGTTGAGAACCCCAGCACAGCCAATGACGAGGGCATCACCCCCCTGCACAATGCTGTATGTGCTGGACGTCACCACATCGTCAAGTTCCTGCTCGACTTTGGGGTCAACGTCAATGCTGCTGACAGCGACGGATGGTGAGGACAAACACTGTGACCATTTCTCATTGACCTTTTTCTTTCACTTTCTCTCTTCTCTTTCTGTTAAACCTTAGCTGCATTTAAAATGGTCAAGACTTCACAATGTGTCTGTCATGTGTCCAGGACCCCACTACACTGTGCGGCTTCCTGTAACAGTGGGCATCTCTGTAAGCTGCTGGTGGAGTCGGGGGCGGCCATCTTTGCCACCACCATCAGTGACGTGGAGACAGCGGCTGATAAGTGTGAGGAGATGGAGGACGGATACACACAGTGTTCCCAGTTCCTCTTCGGTGAGTTGTGTTATATAGAGAGACATGCGGCTCCTGTCTACGAACAACCCCTAGCCCCTATATCCTTACGCACTTTTGTAGATCTGTGGGGCTCAAAAGAGCGCTATGGGTCCTGTCCCCAAAACAACCCTTAACCCTACAGCCTACACTCTAGGCACTCGGGCTAGGATATGTAGAATTGGATAGGTATTAGCAATATGTCGAAAGCTCCATCTAATTTATATGAAGGCAAGGCAAAGCATCAACCTTGGTACCCGTCCAATCCTTTCAGACCTACACTAGGGGCAAGGAGGTACGGACGAGGGGTTATTTCTGGATAGGGACATTATTTGTATAAGGAAGGTTCAATAGTGTTTCCTTCCATGTGAACTGACCCTCTTTCTCTCTGTCCGTCCTCCAGAGCTGCAGGAGAAGCTGGGTGTGATGAATAAAGGGTCTGTGTATGCTCTGTGGGACTACGAGGCCCAGAGCTCAGACGAGCTGTCCTTCCACGAGGGAGACGCCATCACCACTCTGAGTCGCAGGGACGATGCTGAGACAGAGTGGTGGTGGGCCAGGCTACATGACAAGGAGGGCTACGTGCCACGCAACCTGCTAGGGGTAAGGACAGCCACCATGATGGATACTACTATGGTCTGAATCACCAGGACGTTAATATCATAGAGATCCTGTAATTCTGTTTAATTCTGTGGTTAATATGTTGTATCTAGGTATATAGATTTCCTCAATCTTGTTTGAAATTAGATGTTAAATGTTAGTTGAATTGGTTAGGATCCCAAATGACAGAAGCGGCATCTCAAAATATTTGGTAATAAATCCTAAGTTGTACCTGCCTGTAGAAGATGAATTTCCATGATCGGAAAATACAATTAATAATAACGTTTTCTTCTTCTTCTTACAGTTGTATCCAAGGATCAAGCCTAGACAACGTTCTCTGGCATAGAGAAGACAGTGCACGTTGCTGAGAAGGCAGTGCACGTTGTTGCGCTGTGACTGGGCCCTCTCTCTGTGCCAGTCTGTGCCACCCCAGAACAAAGGACAAGGGCCAGGGCATGGACAGAGGGGGCCATATCCGGACAGAGACAGACAGACAGGCTCGGTATTGGTGGTCACTTAACAAAGAGGAAGTAGAGGCAGTATCCACGGCCCAGAGATCTCTCTGTCTGCATTTTTTAAGGTTTTGCACCCCCCCGTCATTGGATCATGAAGCAATGAAGCTCACTGGACCATGAAGCAATGAACGACTCCAACCGCCCTGCCACCACCTACTCATTCAGAGAATACTCTGAGCAGAGCTTCCCTCTTCCCCCTCTCACTCAGTGTTTGTCTCCTGTGTGTCAGTCAGAGTAAGGACTTGAATGTGATGATCTCAGAGAAGGGAGCAGAGGACATGGGCAGTCATGACTTAGTAAATGTGGGTTTTGCAGTAAGTGCTGTTAGGAGATCAGAGTTCAAACCCTGGAGGTCAAATCTTCAGGGTTTCAACAGAGGAAAGAAGGGAACAGATAAGATAATGTTTTTACAAGATGAGAAAAGGAAGGAAAGTGAAAGAAGGTGTTATTCAAAGACTTTGAAGGCTGGTTAAAGCTACTAAAATATTTGTGGAATGTTTAAAACAGTCATACAATGTTGGTGTTATTTTTGCAAACCAAAATGTGTTCTGAAGGAATGAGTGGAAGATGTAGTGCTGGGATGGGAACGTGAGAGGGGCTGCGTTCTGTTCTACAGATGCAATAACTATGAAGCTAACAATGGGTGTGAATTTAAACTAAGCTCATCAAACACTCATAAGCCTACAATATATAAATGCTTTATCACCTAAAAAGGCCTATAGTTGGATCTCTCTTTGGAGTTCGTATTAATATTGAGTTACATTTTGGCAGACGTTTGTTCCCTATTTTTGTTTTAGGTTGGTTGTTGTCTATTTAATACCTATAAGGCGAAGTGATACACATTTAGATCACTGAGTATAGGCATACCACAGGAGGTTGGTGGCACCTTAATTGGGGAGGTTGGACTTGTGGTAATCGCTGGAGCGGAATAGTGGAATGGTATCAAAAACAGCAAACACATGGTTTCCATGTGTTTGATGCCATTCCATTTGCTCCGTTCCAGCCATTATTGTGAGACGTCCTCCCCTCAGCAGCCTCCACTGAGCCATACTGTACTGTCTTTGGTATAGCCTACCTGTTGACCGACGCTGGCTTGATCTATAGCTTGTGTATTACCATCAGTTCTATCGGATAGTTTATGTGACAAAACAAACACCAAACAGTATGTATCATGAAATGTAAATGTACACAATAATATTATTATTTTTTTTTTTTACATATATTGAACAAAAATATAAATGTAACATGTAAAGTGTTGGTCCCATGTTACATAAGCTGAAATAAAAGAAATGTTCTATATGCACAAAAAGCTTATTTCTCTAAAATGTTATGCAGAAATGTGTTTACATCTGCGTGCTCGTCATCCTCACCAGGGTCTTGGTCTCCTTGGTCTGACTGCAGTTCAGCGTCCTAACCGACTTCAGTGGGCAAATGCTCACCTTCGATGCCCACTGGCACGCTGGAAAAGTGTGCTCTTCACAGATGAATCCCGGTTTGAACTGTACTGGGCAGATGGCAGATGTGTGGGCGAGCGGTTTGCTGATGTCAACGTTGTGAACAGAGTGCCCCATGGTGGCGGTGGGGTTATGGTTTGGGCAGGCATAAGCTACGGACAACGAACACAATTGCATTTTATTGAGGGAAATTTGAATGCACAGAGATACCGTGACGAGATCCTGAGGCCCATTGTCGTGCCATTCAGCCACCACCATCACCTCATGTTTCAGCATGAATGCACGGCCCCATGTCGCAAGGATCTGTACACAATTCCTGGAACCTGAAAATGTCCCAGTTCTTCCATGGCCTGCATACTCACCAGACATGTTACCCATTGAGCATGTTTGGGATGCTCTGGATCGACGTGTACAACAGCGTGTTCCAGTTCCCGCCAATATCCAGCAACTTTGTGCAGCCATTGAAGAGGAGTGAGACAACATTCCACAGGCCACAATCAACAGCCTGATCAACTATACGCGAAGGAGATGTGTCGCGCTGCATGAGGCAAATGGTGGTCACACCAGATACTGACTGGTTTTCTGATCCACACCCCTACTCTTTTTTTTTCTTCTTTTTTTTTCTCGATATCTGTGACAAACATGCATATCTGTTTTCCCAGTCATTTGAAAGCCATAGATTAGGGCCTAATTAATGTATTTCAATTGACTGATTTCCTTACAGGAACTGTAACTCAGTAAAATCTTTGAAATTGTTGCATGTTGCAGTTATATTTTTGTTCAGTGTAGAATGTTATAACTTACATTTCACAATGATATGCACAATGCTGACATTGGCTACAGTCTTCATACAGTCCACCAAACAAGAGTTAATAATTAATTCATGATCTATCCCACCTCTGGGCTAAACATTGACCAGTATCTGCCTGACAGGTGCAGTTTTCTGTGAAGGTCAAGGAGCAATCGTACTGAGAGCCGCAGTAGGTTATCTTGGCACAAAGTTGCACCATTACAAACTGAATTGTACTACAGTAGCCTACTTCTTACCTACTGTATTTTCTGTGGACTGGGCACATAGGTGTGAAAATAAAACCCTGAATTTGCGCATAGTTTCATAGTTGTTGACTAATCGTCTATCAAGGGACTTGAGCCATCATGGCAAATCCAGAAGCCTTTCACATAAATAAATGGAAAGTTCCCAACTCTCTGGTTCATTCAGAATCTGCGGTATTGGACACGTGTCAAAAGGTAAGCATGTTCAAAACGGTTGAAGATAAATGACCATAAATAATTTCACATCTATAGGTCTAATTGAATACACAGTTAGAATATTACTTTAGTAACATTTCAACGATTAGTGTTTCACACAAGTGATGGGTCTATATGAATCCACTTGAAACAGACAAACAACTTCACATAAACCTTTAAATTACACACATCATGGAATATTGGAAATGGACACCATTAGAACTGATTTGTTTACTGCGGTTTAAACCCTTGTCCGACAGTACCTCCTAGTGTTGTCCAGACAAGATGTGATTCAATGCTGCCTTGAGTTCATGATGATACAGAGGATAGGGAGAGACCTTTCCATATTTTAGGCTATAAATTACACGCTCCTAGTTTGAATTTGTCCAAAGAATACTATCATCTGATCAATTACATTATTATTTTGTTCATTTCTAGGTTGCAGGACCAGAGTCCAAAGGAGTTGTTTGCTCCTCAGGTAGTAAAAGAATGATGGTATACTGTATATCAGGGGTAGGCAACCCTGTTCCTGGAGTGCCGCAGGTACTGCAGGATTTTGTTCCAACTAGGCACCACACCTGACCAACTGAGCGAATTGATCAGTTCAGTGATTGCCTAAATTCAACACACCTGGTTTTCCAGGTTGGTTCAATCAAAAACATGACGTGCCTGCGGCACTCCGGGACCAGGGTGTCGGAAGTTTACATACACTTAGGTTGGAGTCATTAAAACTTGTTTTTCAACCACTCCACAAATTTCTTGTTAACAAACTATAGTTTTGGCAAGTCGGTTAGGACATCTACTTTGTGCATGACACAAGTAATTTTTCCAACAATTGTTTACAGACAGATTATTTCTCTTATAATTCACTGTATCACAATTCCAGTGGGTCAGAAGTTTACATACACTAAGTTGACTGTGCCTTTAAACAGCTTGGAAAATTCCCAAAAATGATGTCATGGCTTTAGAAGCTTCTGATAGGCTAATTGACATGATTTGAGTCAATTGGAGGTGTACCTGTGGATGTATTTCAAGGCCTACCATCAAACTCAGTGCCTCTTTGCTTGACATCATGGGAAAATCAAAAGAAATCAGCCAAGACCTCAGAAAAAAAGTTGTAGACCTCCACAAGTCTGGTTCATCCTTGGGAGCAATTTCCAAACGCCTGAAGGTACCACGTTCATCTGTATAAACAATAGTATGCAAGTATAAACACCATGGGACCACACAGCCGTCATACTGCTCAGGAAGGAGACGTGTTCTGTCTCCTAGAGATTAATGTACTTTGGTGCGAAAAGTGCAAATCAATCCCAGAACAACAGCAAAGGACCTTGTGAAGATGCTGGAGGAAACAAGTACAAAAGTATCTATTTCCACAGTAAAACAAGTCCTATATCGACATAACCTGAAAGGCTGCTCAGCAAGGAAGAAGCCACTGCTCCAAAACCACCATAAAAAAGCCAGACTACGGTTTGCAACTGCACATGGGGACAAAGATCGTACTTTTTGGAGAAATGTCCTCTGGTCTGATGAAACAAAAATAGAACTGTTTGGCCATAATGACCATCGTTGTGTTTGGAGGCAAAAGGGGGCAACTTGCAAGCCGAAGAACACCATCCCAACCGTGAAGCACGGGGGTGGCAGCATCATGCTGTGGCGGTGCCTTGCCGCAGGAGGGACTGGTGAACTTCACAAAATAGATGGCATCATGAGGAAGGAAAATTATGTGGATATATTGAAGCAACATCTCAAGACATCAGTCAGGAAGTTAAAGCTTGGTCGCAAATAGGTCTTCCAAATGGACAATGACCCCAAGCATACTTCCAAAGTTGTGGCAAAATGGCTTAAGGACAACAAAGTCAAGGTATTGGAGTAGCCATCACAAATCCCTGACCTCAATCCTATAGAAAATGTGTGGGCAGAACTGAAAAAGCGTGTGCGAGCAAGGAGGCCTACAAACCTGACTCAGGAATGGGCCAAAATTCACCCAACTTATTGTGGGAAGCTTGTGGAAGGCTACCCGAAACGTTTGACTCAAGTTAAACAATTTAAAGGCAATGCTAACAAATACTAATTGAGTGTATGTAAACGTCTGACCCACTGGGAATGTGATGAAAGAAATAAAAGCTGAAATAAATAATTATCTCTACTATTATTCTGACATTTCACATTCTTAAAATAAAGTGGCGATCCTAACTGACCTAAGACAGGGAATGTTTACTAGGATTAAATGTCAGGAATTGTGAAAAACTTAGTTTAAATATATTTGGCTAAGGTGTATGTAGACTTCCGACTTCAACTGTATATAGACCATTAATAATATTCCCAAATCATCCCAACATTCCTCATTATGACGATATCTTTATATTGTGTTCAAGTGGCAATGCTGGGATGGCCACGGCCTATGTGGCATGCAAACTAAACATTCCAGCAACTGTCATTGTGTCTTCATCCACATCTGAACTGATCAGGGAGAAACTGAAGGACCAGGGAGCCACGGCCAGAGTAGTGGGCAAGGTAAGCCCGCCAATTAGTGACCGTCTCTCCACTCAATACTTTTTGTCAGCCTTATAATTGAAGACTGATTTACTTGTAGACTATGTCTGTTCCCCCATGTGTGTGTTGCCATTTTTGTCTCATTCTGCCTGTTCAGGTGTGGGATGATGCTAATGATGAGGCCCTGCGTCTGACCCAGACTGATGGCCTGACCTACGTCCCACCCTTTGACCATCCTCTGCTCTGGTGAGAAGGTACTTCAGTCAGACCAGTCCTTAACTGAGCCTGTAGTAAGGGGCACCTTTGTTCCAGACCTGTTGTTGAAATTAACACCATTCTTCATTTATTTTGATTTGACTGTTTTCCCCCCCCCCTTAACCTATTTTTTGCTCCTTTTCCCCCTTCCTATTTTGTGTATGATGACACATTTTGTTTGTAAAATAATATTTAAATCCATTTTGATTTGATTCCCCCCCAAGGCAAGGCCATGCCAGTATTGTGAGAGAGATCAAGGCCTCTCTTCCATCCAAGCCTGGGGCTGTAGTTTTATCTGTGTGGGGAGGGAGGGCTGCTCTGTGGGGTGGTGAAGGGCATGAAAGAGGTGGGCTGGGGCAGTGTGCCCATCATCTGCATGGAGACTGAGGGAGCAGACTGTTTTAACGCAGCAGTGAAGGCTGGCAAGATAGTCACCCTCCCTGACATCACCAGGTGAGAAGAGAACAGAGATTAAATGGAGATTTTCATTTATCATTATGTTGTACTCAAATCCATTCCATTCTAATGATCTGTGATGGTTGTATTGTCAGTGAGGCCAAATGTCTGGGTTCAAAGGCTGTGTGCAGGCAGGCCTTTGAGTACAGTAAGGGGGGCAACATGAACATCATATCAGAGCTGGTCATTGACCAGCACGCCCTGCAAGCAGTGGAGACCTTCCTGGGTGAGTGTTGTACCAGCCGTCACTGTTCTCAGATGGAGCATTCTAGAATCAGTAGGAATGTTTAATACATCCCTATACATTACTCTGCATTGAGGTATAGTTTTATTCTAAAAGAAACGTAGCTACGGGTTACAACTACGACTAAATATTTTCTGTTTGCATGTATGCTTGCTTGTGTGTGTGCCTGTGTGTGTGTCCAGATGAGGAGCGTGTGCTGGTGGAGCTGGCCTGCGGGGCTGCGTTTGCGGCTGTATACTGTGGGGTCATCCAGACACTGCAGGGTGGGGGCCGGCTGCCCATTCCCCTAGCAGGGCTGCTGGTGATGATCGTCTGTGGAGGCAGCAGCATCAACCAGGCACAGCTGCAACATCTCAGGAAAGTCCTCAACAGATGAACACAGGAAATGGAACCATAGAATTAGATAAACCATAAAAGAACATAGCCATGGAACCATATAATTAGAATTGGAAGGTCCAAAACACATGAACATGGAACTCTGCTACATCCCAAATGGCACCATATTCCCTATATATAGTGTAGGGGATGGGGTGCCATTTGGGACGTAGACCTAGCCTAGTACCATAGTACAGGGTTTCCCAAAGTTGGTACTGGGGCCCGCCCGAGTTTGGGAAACCCTGCCATAGTAGATTGAACAATAGTATAGTTGGCTACAGCACATACAGTAAGGACAAGGCTATTGGACTCCCACCAGGTCATGGCTCCAGACTGTGTTAATGAAAGATTATGAGGACGGATTCTTAATAGTTTTTGATTACAGCTTTTTAACCCGTTGTATACATTTTCACAATGTTGACCAATACTACCCCAAGTTTCTCAGCTTTGTAATCAGTGCCAAATTTGGAAAATTTCTGACAACCTTTTTTTTCATGGAATGAAATCTGAAATACAATTCAGTAGTGGTTATTATTAGTGGACATTTGAGGCACCATTCAAATGCAGTTACTAGTTGTGACCAACAGGTGGTACCTCTTGTCACTGAGAAGATGCAGTCAGAGACGATAGAGAAAGCAAGACATTTCATAGGTTACTTTTTTCTACTTGGTGCCTGGCAAATAAACTAAGTAGACCAGACCCAGCTGCAATCGCATTGTTGCCTATGGGAGAGCCACCCCTAAAGTAGATTGGAACTGTGCCTATTCTTTTCAATGGTAAAAGGCCTTTTTGCGTTATCTTTATATTCCGCAATCTTTGATGCAGTACCTTCGACCAACCAAAGACCAGTGGAACTGGTAGGCTATACTGAGACACGCTTAGATTGCTTTCCTTCTGACACCATTCTGTTTATATCAGCTATAACCATGAATGATCTAGTATTCCATTGTTTATGATATACATGTAGGCTACTCTATTGTTTAAGCTGTCATGGTTGATGAGACACAGTCTTAACAAACCAACGTGGCTATGTTAAACAGATATCAGTAGCAGCCTCATATAAAACCAATCATAAAATAATCTCAAACAGTCATGGAAAAAGCTCATGTTTAGGCTACTTCAATAGAAGTGTTCACTTTCGATTTAACTATTTTGACAAGCTGTGTTGAATTGAAGAATGTCTGCTATTGGGATCGGCTAATTACAAGCTATGAGGTCTCTAAAGGTAAATATTTAATGATCAAAAGCCCCTTGGCCTTGGGCTATCTTCTGAAGAGCAGAGTGTGTGGAGGATAGATCCTGTATCTTAAAAGCTATGGACTGGAATACCAAGTCTTACTCTTCCACACACATAATTCTGCCCATCCATAATGTCAACACATATGCCAGGGCTGCAGTGGCGGCTCCTGAAAAAATTATCAGGAGGGGCAATTTTTCTGATGATTTAGGTGACCTACACACATTTTAAAAAAGATATGTCCAGCAACAACATGAAGACAGGGGCAGCATATAAGTCAATACCAGAAGCATTTATTGACTGATCTGGGGAGATGGATTCCAGTTTCTGTGACAGATTATAAATAATCTCTGATGCCTTTGTTATATTAGCTTTTGGTTGAATGTACTGTCGTAGTAAATATATAATGTTATAGCTTGGTCTGACTAAAATCTTGTGCATGACCCATTTTGTGTTGGGCCTTTGTATTCAATACAATGAACAAGAGTCCTATCTTGTCAGCCTTGTCAGCAGGTGGCTAAGGATAACACCCACGCCATAGGTCTCTCAGTTCTTCCAACTCACGAGTTCTTGCCCTGAGGACACACACACACACACCCACACTACTAGATTCAACCTACTTCATTTTATTGTATAAAATGTCAGCACACAATGTTTAGGGGCTCTTCTGATAAACTCCCTACGAGTTTGACGAACGGGTCCGTGCACGCGATTCCAGATATCTTTACCTCTGAATAAACTGCCTTATATTATACAATTATCCACCTTGTCCAAAAGTCTCTACTTGGTCTCCGTTCTCCAGTAAACTTGTTTTATCAACAATAGTAAGGTTCAATGACACAGAAAGCAGTTCAATGTCGGGGTACAGAGTCGCTCTCTTACCAGGATCGCGGTCCGCTCTGACCAGGGTGAAGCCGGCCGGCTCCACCTCTCTGTCCGGGACTCTGTCATCCAGCCAAGTCTCCCAGCTGTATTGGGATTCCGCTGCCAGCAGCGTTTTCATTATTTAGTCCGTTCGTAGCGGGTATGTACACGATCAACAAGATCAGTCCAAAACCGAAGATCAGTCCAAAGCAGAATGTTTGCAGAATGTTTGTAAACTAAGTCTACAAATTAAAAACATAAAATAACGCCACACTGCAGGTCGCAACATAGACGCTGCTAGCCGCCATTGTCTTAGTTACGTTCAACGTTACGTCACGTATGACGAAAGCGCGTAAGTGCATGCCCACAGACACCCATAGAGAATGTATTGAAAGCTTTGAAATGTGAAAAAAATAGATTTTACATGACAGGCTATGAGAGACTTCTGGGCGATTTTCAACCTGACTGAAATCGCCCAAAAAACGGGCGGGGCCATTTGAAGCACGACTTTAGCCTGATTTGACATTTAGTGGCTGGCAGATCAGACGTGAACACTGATAACTGCTGTTGCCGTGATATAATTGATTAGAAAAAAAATCCCTTCCTTTTCCCGTTTGGCAGTGCGTCGCCCATATCGCCCTATTGAACAAGCCGTCCCTGCAGGGCTGCCCAACCCTCTTCCTGGAGATCTACTGTCCTGTAGGTTTTCAGTCCAACCCGAATTTAGCGTATCTGAATCAGCTAGTTAAGGACTTGTTGAGCAGCTAATTAGTAGAATCCGGTGTGTTAAATTAGGGTTGGACTGAACCCACAGGACGGTAGATCTCCAGGAAGTGGGTTGGGCATCCCTGGCATATGCCGTGTGTGAGCATATACTATATGTATATAAAGATGTAATATCTGCTTCTACCTATAGTAGCCTCGTGTGTTTCACTGTCTGAGAGTATGTATTAAGCACTATCGTCTCCCAAGCTACAGTGTCATAAGGAAACACCATAGAATGGAATGGCATGGCTGCTGATGGGAGTTTATTGAATGTGACAGTTTTACTGCACACTTAGGACACAGTTCACCAAGGCCCTAGGTCAGTCACAGCTCTAACAGGCCTTTATGTTAGGACACAGTTCACCAAGGTCCTAGGTCAGTCACAGCTCTAACAGGCCTTTATGTTAGGACACAGTTCACCAAGGCCCTAGGTCAGTCACAGCTCTAACAGGCCTTTATGTTGCTTCATGAATTTAAGTATGATTTCCAGCATGAGTAGAACAATTAAAGACTATATAGTAAAATAAGGTAAGCTTAGAGTTATCAGTTTGATATAAGCTGTAGAAATGGAAAGTAAGGTGTTTATTTTTCTTATTTTGTTTTGGTCACTGATATTTTGGAAAGGACAGTCATTGAGAACCACTAATGCTGTGTCTACACAAGCAGCCCAATTCTGATATTTTTCCCACTAATTGGTCTTTTGACCAATCACATCAGATCTTTTCACATCAGATATTTTTCAGAGCTGTATTAAGGGTTAATCTGAGATCAGATCAGAAGCATTAGAGGCTTGATCCCCACCTCCCATAAGTGGACATCCCTGAGATTCACTGATGTTACATCCCAAAATGGCACCCTATTCAATGTACACTCTTTTTCTGGTCAAAGGTAGTGCACTATGTAAGGAATAGGGTGCCATTTGGAAAGTACAGGGTGGTACAACAATATACTGTACGATAATTGGCATACTATATTCTGTGTTACTCTAATGGAGTTTTTTTTTTTTTTTTTTTTTTGTCATTTAGCAGATGCTCTTATCCAGAGCGACTTACAGTTAGTGCATACATTACTTTATTTTTTTTCATACCCCCCCGTGGGAAACGAACCCACATCCCCTGCCGGCCATTCCCTCCCCTACCCTAGACAACGCTGGGCCAATTGTGCGCCGCCCCATGGGTCTCCCGGTCGCAGCCGGCTACGACAGAGCCTGGATTCGAACCAGGATCTCTAGTGGCACAGCTAGCACTGCGATGCTGTGCCTTAGACCACTGCGCCACTCGGGAGGAGTTAAAGGAAGAATGTAACGTTGTACGCCGTTTTCATTGAAAACTATCACACGTGTGGAAATACACAATTTGTTCCTAATGTTCATTGTGGATGAAAGAAATGTGGGATCTTTGGTTTGAAAAAAAAAAGCACAGTTCTGTATGTTTGATATATGAAAGATTTGAGAGAGGGTGCAGAGAGCTGCATAGTTTGCCTGTCTGCTGAATAATGTTTCCTTTGTTCTGTTAGCTATAGGTCTAATACAGTAGACTATTTATAGAATAAGTCTTGCAGTCCAACTTCATTCATCTCAGGCGTTTTTAAACAAAGCGTGACATACTACGGTACCAATCATTAATCCTCCATCAATCACAACCTTTGATGTCTAGATGTACGGTGTGTGTGTAAACAAGGCTTGGTGGATTTCTCCTTTTGTTTAAAACTATAAATCAACTGGAAATCAAATCTTTGTTTGCTTCAGTGAAGTTTTATCTGCATTATAAAGAGCTCTTACACATCTCCACAGTAAAGTTATAGGTTGTAGAGGCATTGTCTGGTTGGCTTTACTGCACAGAGGTGGGCAATCCTCCTTACAAATGTGCTGGTCTCAGGAATAGCAACAAAAGATCACTACGAAGTCAACAAGTCTACATATTTGACCTTTAGGTGAGACAAATGAAAGTGACCACATCATAACAAATTAATCTAGTTGAGTTACAGTACAGCCAAGTCAGAAAGAGAACAGAACAGACCTGAGAAGAAAAGTAATATAAGTAATGTAAACCAGAGAGAGAAACCTTAGTTTGAACTCCTTACAGTCCTGCCTGCCCTGCCTGGCGACAGCGACCAGTCTGTCTGTACAGGGGGCT